TGTGTGTGTGTTATGCGTGCGTGTATGAAGAGAGAGAGAGAAGGTGTGTGTGTGTGTGTGTGTGAAGAGAGAGATGATGTGTGTGTAGAGAAGATGTGGGTGTATGCGTGGGTGAGTGTATGTGTGTGTGTGCGTGTGTCTGTGTCTGTGTGTGTCTGTGTGTGTGTGTCTGATTCCTCCATTCACTTGAGCAAAATATTAATTCTTTTCAGTATGTTTCGCTCTTCGTACTTGTATTTATGTAACGCGCCTGTAGTTGTGTGCACAGCGAGTAGGCGCTAAAATGATTAATGATCGACACCATTTTTCTATTAACAGATATTTCAGGACGCGTGTCTCACAAAAGAAGCAAAAACGTCGGTAATATGTTCCCATGTTTGGCATTCCAGATAATGTCAGGTCATCATCATCATCCAGTGCCAGATCTGCGACAGACATCGGCGATCAAGGTTATCCATTTATTCCTTCTCTCGGATGCTCTCGAAAAAGCTACGTTACCCTGATCTTTCCCTGTTATCCTTTTGTTTAGGCTCCCTAAGTAGGTTGCCCTGGGCCTACCCCTGCCTCTTTTGCCTTCAATTTTGCTAGTGAGAGCTAGATGTTCAAGACCCTTATGTCTATTCAGGTGTCCCAAAAACTGCATTTGTCGTTTCCTGGTTGTTTTATAACAGTGGTCGTCCCACGCGGGCTTCTTCAAGTACTAACTCATTTGATTTCTTTTCTTTCCACGATATTCTTAGCCGTCTCCTAAGAAACTACATTTCTGTTGCTTCTATTTTATTTTCAAGCATTCACAGCCCTATAGAAGGGTTGACCACACTTAGCATTTCAGAACTTTCATTTTGGTAGTCATCGAGATGTTTCTATTTTTCAGGATTGGGCTCATTCTATTGAAACCAGCCTTAGCCATTGTATTTCTCTGTTTTATTTCTGTCGAACATTTGGCATCAGATATTATCATATTATTTTATATTATTATTTTATATCCTAAATGTTCAAACTGTTGGACTTGTACCTTTGCTAATTAGATTCAAACTAGAAAATTGCTGCTGTTTTATATTACCATGTATTCTGTTTTCTTAATTTTCAACAATAATCCTTTATTTTCACTTTCTATTACAACAGTATCTAGAAGCAATTGAAGGTCCTTTTCTGTGTCTGCTATTATAATTGTGTCATCTGCATACCTGATGTTATTACTATTTTCTCCATTTACTTTGAGGCCAGGACATTGTTCAATGTTTCTAAGGATTATTTCACTTTACATGTTAAAGAGGTATGGTGACGTAACACATCCTTGCCTCACTCCTCGCCTAATCTGCTTATATTCACTGTATTCTCCATTTATTCGTACAGCTTCGTTTTGGTCATAATTATAACGCTGTTTGGTACACAGGGGAGGTTATTTCTTTCCTAACCCAGGGGAAGTCATCCAGATCGTGGAAGATGAAGAAAAGAAATCCCTCCCCCCCCC